TTAATCAATTGTGTCCATGTAATTGTGTGTTTAATAATGCATTTACTTAGATAATGAGTCTAAGGAATGAGCACTACTACTTTGGGCAAATGTGCCAGACTGGCTGTTGCACTCCTGCAATAACTGATATACTGCAGACGCACAGTGAGCTTGTTCACGATATTACTACACTCTATCTGTGTGTGTGGATACAAACATGAAAAACAACTGGAGTATTGCACACATGCGCACCGCTTCGCCGTTGCTCGTAAAAAAAAAAAAGTTTCGCTGGAGGTTGTACTGCAAAGCAAGGGCTCTGCTCATTTTCTCCCTTTGACGGCGTCTCCATCCCTTGCAACACGATCAATGTGCGTGTGCGTGGGAAAGGATTGTGTGTGCTTTCCAACTCGGCTCGCTCGTCCGAGTCAAACATCGTGGTTTTCTCCAGGCACTCTGGTTTCCTCCCACACGCGCAAAAAAAAACATTCCCGAGAGGGGAATTGCGAAACGTCTTGAGCAGGGGTCCTACCGAAAAAAAATCATGATATTCCACAAGACTTTCCTGATTAAATCATACAAATTGAAGAAGATGAAAAAATCACGCGTGTTACAGTATTTTTTTTCTTCCGTTAGTTTGATCTATGCATGGCAATAATGCAATTTTAGAGTCTATGTAAACGTACAAACATTAGTATCAACGGTCTCGTGATTTTTATTTATTTATTTTTTACTCTGCACCACGAGTTTTAGCTTTTGCAAGCATGTCTTCAGGGACAATGATTTCATATTTGGAAACGTACCAATAATAACCGCATGTCACAGCAAAGGACGTCATGGGTGAATGGCAAGCCTCTACAAAGCGGGCTCTGGGTCCATCATGGCTCAGGCTAAACAGGAATGATGGACTGCTTATGGATCAGTAGGTCATGTTCTACCCATGTTGCGCTACCATCTGGGCACATTGACATCGGAAGAGACAGAGCCAGCACAAGAATGGCAAAAACTTGAAAATGCAGCAGCGGTTAAATTAAATCTGCCCCTCGACAGCTGGTTTCATATGTGCACAAATATCTCGAATAAGGAGGCATCCCGGCCTGTTTCTCGTCTCCGAAGAAGGATCGTGTATTGCCGGAGATATATATATACTTATTTTCTCTTCTTCTCCCTCTCTCGTTTTATAAACCGGTGATATTATTTACAAAAGAAGGACAGCCTTCTCAGCCTCTGCTCCTATGTAACTGTCAACTCAGCCCCTGAAATGTGATTTGAAACTTAAGCAGGCAGAACAGCTCTGGGCACACGGGCCGGCCAGAGCGCATCCCGGCCAATTGCCGCGGAGAGAGAGCGGTGCAACGCTCTCGCTCGCCCGCTCGGTATTTCATAAATTAAATAAGAATTTTTTTTTTTTAAAGCAAGCCTTGGCACCGACCTGATAATTATTTCTTTAGCGCAGGGGCCGTTTGGCTCGGCCCATTCGAACTGTGGCACCAAATTCCGTGCTGAGCAGTGATTACAGCACCCGTTGGCAGCCGCGCATCTGTTTATGGAAATTATTATTATTATTGTTACACTGCATGTTGCTTATATGGCCGGTTAAATCTTTGTATTATTTATATAGCGCTACCATCCCCCTCCCCCCACCACTGCCCCCAACCAAACCTTTGTATTGGGCTTCATCTGGCAAACCAGAGGCACCTCGCTACGGGGCGCCCTACTCACACGCAGGATGATAACACTCACACCAGCTCCAACTTGCATCGCCCTCTCCTTTACATAATAATGACGGTGACGTCACTGTAATGAATACGCTATATTCAGTCTGCGGATTTCCACATTATCTGAGAATTCTTGCATGTACTTGCCTCCGAGAAGAGATTTGGAAGGTTTGGTGGCGTGCTGGCTGAACGTAGAATGGTTTTTTTTTAAGTATTCAGGATTCGTGCGTTAAATGTGCATACACCTCTTTGAATGCACCGTGTGAAGTATCAAAGCCTTAGAGCCAGGTACATGCACAGTCTATCTAAGACGACATGTATAGCAGTCGGGGTGCATATATCCCTATCCATTAGTTGCTTTAAGTCCCCCAACACGAACCCCTAACTATCGGCAAGGATCTCATGTGTGTAGTTGATATTCAGTTTCTCTGCTTGTGTTCAAAGCAGCACTTTGGGTAATTCTGGACGGATATGTGTTTGCAGAGAGCGCTTTAACACATACACACAGCCTTAACAGACCGTTGGGGAAAGTGCTGTTAGCGAGCACCTATGAAGGCCGGCACGGTACTCGAGGGGGTGGGTACGCCAGCACTACGCCCGACCGCCTTTGTCTCCCTAGTGGCAACGTTTTTTTAAACATATCTCGCTAGCTACTCATTTGAGGGGAGGCCCAGGACCGGTTTCAGATCATTGTCACTGGTGTTGGCTGTGAGCGGGAATGGAACCTCGGGTCACCTGGGTTTGTAGCTCAGCGCGCTAACCGTTACACCACGCTCCCCATAAAAATACACACTCGCACTCACACGCTTTGTACAGACACACACAAACAGCATAGCCACAGACACATAGAGGCAAGTGGGGGGGGGGGGTATGCAGCCATCAAGTCGGGGTGTGTCTGCCTTAACAGAGACTGCAGGAAGTTCAGTTTCCATGCATGTGGACCAAAGCGCTATTCCCCAAACAGGACAGTAATGTTATGTAACATATACAGTTGAGTTATTTTGGAAAGGCTGGGATTTGCAGTCACCGTTGGCCTGTGGGGTGCAGCTTGCAAAAGCATCGCTCTTTTCCTTGCTGTTGCTGCTGCTGCTGCTTCTGTTGCGCTGCTCTTTGGGGGGTTATTGCCGGTCGTATGCTTTACAGCCAATGTTGAGTCTTTGATGTGCGTGGCCTGCTCGATTTGCACGTGCACACCCTGCGCTCTGAGACTGAGTTCGATTCCCGACGGGTGGCTTAACATCAGTGGCGGAGTGATATCTGTACCTGGCCTCTGTCGCCAAACCCCCCTCCTCCCCCCTCGTCACACCCCCCCCATCTCCCCAGACTTTTCACCAACCCACGCTGACAATCAAATCTGTTCACGACGAGAGAAAACCCATCAGTTACAGAATAGTGCAGGCTGGAAAATCATCGGTTTCAAGGAGCACACTAGAATGTGTAAAGCTAAAAAAATATATAGTGCACAGCTTCTGTGCAATTGTTGTTGCAAAAACAATCATCATTTCCTGAAGAAGTGAAATGTGGTGCTGTTGTCTTCGAACATCGTCAAAATGTGCCCATTTACACATTTCTGTACGGTGTTTGAAACTTGTAAATTTCCAGCCTGCACAATTAACGCCGTTTTATCTTCATTTACAGATGTGATTATTGTTGGCATTATCCAAGCTAATCGGTCCCGTAGTGTGGATGTTGAAAACTCTATATACAGTCCATAGCTCCCAGAGGCAGGCTTTGCAGCCGTGAGCTTTGGTGACTCTGCTGTGATAATGAGTCCCAAATGAAGATTAAACCGGTCCACATTTGTCCATCACTGCCATTGTCAGCCGGTCACGTTTGCTCAAGTGTATTTCAATGCTGATCTAAGCTAAGAGAATCACAGTGCACGTCTTTAGGAAATTATGGCTTTTTCTTTGGTTGCATATGCACAGAGGCTGTATTCTTTTTTACATATTTCCGTCTGTTGTTTTGACATCACACTGACCAGCGTGGCGAAGTGTGGTCCAGCAACACTCACGACCGAGAGAGATTGGAGATGTCTTCATCGAACAGAGTGGATAGTGCAGTCACATTACATTGTGCACGACACAAATGTGGTTTGCAGAGACCGTGGAGATTATCACAGCTGAGATGAGACGACCCTAATGATGGACCTTATACATCCTGGCGTGTCCACCCCGACTGATTGAAGCTGTGCACTGTATCCTATGGTGATGGTAATGCACAGTGGCACACATTCGTAGACACACACATACACTGCTCGGTAAAGTCTATTTTCTCACTATAAGTAGCCGACAGAAACATTAAGATGACTCGTTTAAACCAAGATAGATCTGGAAGCAAATAGCAAAGGGAAATGCAAGAATTGTGACTTTACCAAAAGAACCAAAGAGCATAATGTATATAGTATATGTCGTGTACACGGGCATACACTCTTCCACGTGCTTATTAGCGTGTATGTACAGGACACACGTGTAGATTTAAGTCTGCGGCCATTAAACACACACTTTTTCTAAGTGCATATAAACACATATTTACAACATGTATTCTTAAATATTAAAGCACGAATACATATTAATGCGTACACAAATTATACTGTATAAGGCACTTAAACATACGCTCACTGTATGAGCAAATTGCCAAGCTCATTTGAGCTGCTTTTCTTTTAAATGTAACAGTTTAATTACAACAGGCACACATTCTTGATTTCACGTATTACCCCGAGCGATGTCTCAAATACACAGATGCGCAGAGTTTAGAAGAGATTTTCGCTATGTTGGGCATCGCCGTTACATAATTTTAAAAAATACAAAAATTTGAGCCATCATAATTAATATGGGCTCAACAACAACTCCAGCCATTCACACACACGCGCAACTCCACAGGAGGCCGTCCGCAAACATGAAGGGAATCATTCCATCTCCTCGACTTCTACATGCCATACGACCTAACTAACCATCGTTCTGCTGACCTTAACTACCCTATTGTACGACCAACCTCATGGCGTCCTTCCTCCACCTCCAACCCCCACCCCGTCCCTTACCCTAACTCCAACATTCATACCCTGCCAGCCTCCCCCACAGTGCTCCATCACCACCACCACAACGTCCCGGGATCTATCTCCACTGCTACCTGGACACCTGGGAGTGCCGACCGACCGGCGGGCGGGCTGCCCCACCAACCCAATGGTCCCCTCCTCTTCCTCAACCCACGACGACGTCCACAAATCGAACCCCAACACGAATACCATCCCAGCCAAGCCAGGCAAGCAGCCTGCTCTCCCCCCCCCAACCATCCCTGGGCTTGTACCTCGACTGCTGCTTGGGCACCTGGGTCGGCGGGCTGGCTGCGAGGGCAGAGGAGGTCGCTCGCCGCTCTCGACCGCCGGGGCAGCCGCGGCTGCGACGGGAGGGTGCGCGGGCATCTGCGGTGGTAGAGAGGGCAGCGGGGACGGCGCTGGAGCCTGCGGCGCCGTGGTGTGGTTGGCGTTGGCCGTGGACAGCAGGAGCGATTGATGCGCGCTCTCCATCATGATGATGATAGATGGTGCTGCTGCTGCTGGTATTGATACTGCTGCTTCTGATCGAGGTGGTTGCGGTAAAGCAGCTGCTGCTGATGCTGCTTGTTTGCTTTCACCACCGCCGGTGTTTTGTTGTTGTTGTTGTTTTCTCAAACGATAAAGATGGAAGTTCCTTTTTTGCGCTCGCCGGGGCGAGACGTGGCTGGTAGCGCGCCGATCGTGAAGGCGGCGCGCGCGCGCGTGCGTTGCGCGTGTGTAGATAGCGAGAGCGCGCGCGTGCGCGTGTGTTTCAGTGTGCGTCTGTGTGTCTGTTGTGTGTTTCGAGCGTCGTGTGCGCTCCTCGCCGTCGCCGCTGTCTATGAATACAACGACGCACAGAGGCGCTCGTGCATTCGATCCCCCGAGAGCGCAGCGGACGAATGCAAAGCGCAGACCCCCCCCCACCCCCCTCTTCCCGACGCGCGCGCGTTCAACTTCCACGCTCCGCTGTCGATGCGGGGGGTTTATTTAACCGGTTACTTATTTTATTGCCTGATACTTTTCTCTCTCTCTCTCTGCTCTCGCTCTATTGTACATCTGCTCTAACGGTAATCGTTGAGTGGTTATTGAGAATAGAGTACAAGCGTTGTATTCGACTGTAGCACGTTGCGTAAATCCAAATTAGTTTTTTTTCGCCGTGCGCGTTTGCAGTCAATTTGTGCGTCGTTTGACTCGTTTGTTCTCTTTTGTTCGGCAAAAGGCTACGCGAGACCTTTAACCGAATTACGCAAAGCGCGCGAAGTGTCTCTTGTATCCGTTTATATATACACACACGCGCGCGATATCGTAGACACACGGCACAAACACACACAAACACAGGCACGCACGCGCGTGTGCACCACACACACACACGCACGCGCGTGTACACCACACACACACACGCGCACGCGCGTGTACACCACACACACACACACGCGCACGCGCGTGTACACCACACACACACAATGTAGGAGGAGGATGCGCGCACCGCCGTCTCTGAAGTGGGCTGGCGCGCAGGAGACCGGTCCCGGTGTGCGCCGTGCGAACTGCGGCTCGGCAGCTTCACGGGAGCCCGAATCCGTGCGTCACATGCGGTGTGCCCGGCTCACACAGAGGGGTAGCACTCGCTCTCACAATCCCTCCCTCCCACTCCACTCTCCTCCTCTCTCCCACTATGCACGAGCTGGTTCTCTCTCCCCTCCCCCTCCCACCGCTCTCTCCTCTCTCTCTTCCTCTCGCGAGTCGAACTCAACCTCACATCCACCCCACCTCTCCACACCTTCCGTCCCCTCCTTCTATGTCCGTCCCTCCACCTTGATCTGCTAAGTTTTAAAATTCAAGTGTGTTTCAAGCGCTCTTGGGCACACAAAAAAATATATAATAGACTACAGTATAATGCGGTGTCATTTGAGGAGCAAGCAGTTCGCTGGGATTCATTTTCAGCTTTGTGCGGGAGAACTAGTGTGTGTGTGTGGGTATTTTATAAGTCCTTCAGTCTCAAAATTCACAAAACTAATATGAGTTTTTTTACAGCAGGCGAGAGCCCGTTAAGATGCATCGTAGCTTTTGTCAGGCGTATCAGTATACTGCTTTTTATAAGACCTTTTTGCCCTTCACAATCCAAGTTCACGGTTTCCAGTTTTGATATACAAATACGTAATTAACTAAGTGCGCGACCCCGCTGATGTTTAATTGTCATTTGCAAGGGATGCCGAGTAAAGGTAATTGCACAAGATTATTGTGTTTTCTTCACAGATGGAGCATTTAAGAAGAAGTAGCGTTCGCAAAGCGGTGAGCGTACCAAGGAGTCATTAACCCGCCAACCTGAATAAAATTCCCGGCTACGGCTAACATCATCGGCGAATTCTATCCTCTCTCAGCCTTCATCAACAAGCACTTACCAGCAAGGGGAAGCAGCGTCAAACAATTCCGCCTCGAGTGTCATGGCATAGAAGAAGCCTTCCATCCAGCAGTGGCTGGACAAAGGACTGCATATTATGAATTTGTTAGAAGATAAATTATGCCAGAGTGAATAATTTGTGATTCTTTCACATGGTGATTATAAAGCACTGGGAAGAAACAATAATAATAACATTCATGCAAATTGGCACAATGACCAACATACTGACCACTTAGTCTATGCAGCCATCGCATGCCAGGTACTCAGAGTATACTTCCCTGCTGCGAGCGGTCAGTGACCTCTCCTTATTTTCTCACCATGATTCCATCTCTCCACTTATTCTACTTATCGTCGGTTTTTACCTTTGACACCATCGATCAACAGTTATCCTCCGTATTGTCCAACGCCGAATCCGAGTCTCTTAGCACACCCTCATCCTGGTTCCACTCACCCATTTGCTCCTGTTTCTCGGCAAGGTCAATCGTCCACTGACTCCCTTGGCTCGATATCCCTCAAGGCTGGATATTTGTTCTTTATCTCTCTCCTCTCTTGCCTCTTGCAAAAGTATGTTTGGCTCCAACATTGATCAGCATCTTTATGCTGACGGCACCTAACTTTTGATCTCCTTTAATCTTTAGACCGCTATCCTCAACCCCAGGGAGACCTTCGTGTTTTCTAAACTCTGTAAGACCTCCTACCTTCATCTAAGGAACACATTCTACATTTATGAATTCTCTGGATCCTCTGGCTACAGCAGCCCTCATTCATTCATTCATAACCATCTGGCTCTACGGCTGCGATTTCTTCCTTTTCATCATTCACAGCTCGCACTGAAGACCACGTCATCTCAATTCCCAGAACCCTCCACTGCTGCTTCCCAAGCTACCCATAGATACTCTACAGTCTACACGATGGCTGTTGTTTTTTGAAAGATCCCCCTAGGCCTCTCCTCTTCCTACCTCTCTGACCTCTTTATTACCCATTCCCGTACACGGCCTACTGCAGAAAATATTTCTCCCTTCGACCTGTGCATCAGCCTTTGCTTGATGGAGGATTGCTCATTTTCCACTGCTGTCCTTATCGTCTGAATGTCATCAGAATGGATTTAAATTTTAATTGCCACACTGCAGTTTTTTCCCCATACTTTGCAATCAAACCCAAGTACCCAGAACTTCCCTGTCATCATTTTAAAGCTAATTCCTCACCTGTCTTGCTATCATCCTTGTCATCAGATATAGTAAATCCACTGCTGGATGAAAGTCTCCCCACGATGCAACAATCCAGTAAGCTTCTGCACCTGAGTTGATTTCATAATTAATTCTATTTCCATGGTGGACATATATATGAATGTATGTTGAACTTCTTTTGCACCTTACATAATCAACCGTGCTAATCGGATGTGCGGGGGAATGACAACAAGCTAAACACAAAAAACAGTTCTAAAGAAATTAGTTTTCAATGTATATTTAAAAGTGCGTAGCTCCAGTGGCTTCCTAATATCGGAAAGGGAGAGCGTTCCAGACGGCCGCAGAAGCGCATCTGAAAGCGCGCTATGCGGTGGCCGTCTTTGTTCGATGGCGAGCCAAAATCCGCTGCGAGGATGACCGGGGTTCGCGTCATGGTTTATGCTCATTGACGAGATCAGCGAGGTAGTGTGGTTCATTTATGGCAAGCACTTTGTGGCAAGCAATTTGCGTGTAATGAGCGCGACCTTTAAACGTGCTCTCGGTTTTTCTCCTTTGGCGCCACTCCATCATTAGTCTCGACCACCAGCCATAATCCCGTCTCTCGTGACGTGTACTCCTCCCCAATCTCAAAATTACGTATTTACCTTGTGCGTCTTCTCTCATCAATGTACTCTGCTTCCTCTCGGTGCAATTCCAAGCATGCACCTCTCCAACGATTCTTTGTTTACTTGTCAGCTCTGTTTCATTCCCTTTTTTACACTGTCTGTGTTCTAATCCACGTATCACAGCAGGGAATATACACTGACTGAGAACGTTCTTAGTCAGTGTATGCATGGCAGTAAGTGACGTAGCAGATAACGTATGGTGGGATAAATTGTGGGTACTCAAACGCTCCTAACCGATCTGATCAGCATTGCCGAAGTAGCCGTGCAAATAATTCTGCACGGCGCTCACGTTGCGTTGTGAGCAATATGCACGTGGATGATCCACTTGATGAAATATTACAAATTGCAAAAGCTATTTAGGGGTGTCCTTGCTCCTGGATGTGGAGCACAAAAGATGAAAGTCAAGGGAGTTGCAGATATTAACAGTCAAATGCAATCTGCGGAGCATCAGCAGCTAACTACATTTTATTAGCAGCGTGTCTTGCCCTTGCACATTTTGTGGCTTCGAGTGTGGATTAATTGTATCTCCTGAAATGTTGCAAATCATTCTATTAGGTTTTTCCAAACAAACAAAAAAGCACATGGCACACCGAGCACTATTGCATTGTCATATCTTACCAGAGAAAGTGTTTACTCGTTCTATTATGTCACTCAAGTGTTCGTTTTTTTTGTCTTTAACAACAATAAAATAATGTGATGGCTCAAAAAAGTGAAGAATGCAAAATGTGGATTCACAACGTTCAAAAATAATTAAAGAAGCAACCTGGACGCAACTCGGACACTGACTGAAACACCTAAAAACCATGGAAATTGAGCGATGCGATCAACTCAGATGCGGAAGCTAAACGGATTGTTGCATCGCGAGAACGTGACAGATGATTATCACGGCTTGCTTGGGGAGGTTTTCATCCATCATCATCATCATCAGATTATGGCTGATGATGATGATGATGGTAAAAGTGGTGGATAGTGGATTTCAATGATTGTACCGACATTTGTAAAAGAAATAAAAAGGAAGGAAGGAAAAAAAAAGCGTGCCATACATTCTGTCCACAACATTGCCCGAGATACAACGTCTCACGACGTACGCTTTGCGATAAACATTGTTATCGTCAGCGGCCTGGACGCGTGAATGTGCCCACCACCTGCGCCAAGTGTCACACACGCACGGGGGAGCTCATCTCGTGCGCGTGCCTCTCCGCACTTTGCCTTCGCTTGCCATCGGCGCCGGTGTAATTGTGCGCGGCAGCTGATGTGCTTGAGCAGCGTTCTTCACTCATTTTCGGAGAGGGGCCACTTTCGCCGACAAGACATCGGCGTGTTGAGGGCCGCCACACATTTGAAACCATTGCGGTTTGACATCACGATGATGGGGGGGGGGGGGGGTGTTTTCAGTGGCCCGCGGGCCTTGCAAATGAAGAACACTGTGCTTGCGATATGAGACTAGTGGACTTTTTCACCCCTCCACCCACCTCAAGCTAATTACATCGACATACCCAATACATTAAAAAAATGAAATTGATTTAGCTTCAGAGAAACCTATCGATTTTCCATTTCATTCGGCGCGTTTCAGTAAATAAATACACGGCTGAAACAATTAAACAGAAGCAAAGAAAAAAACCCACCAGCGTATATCTCAGTTCATTATAAATAAAGTTGTCAATCCCCCCCCCCCCAACCACCACCACCCCCTAAAAATGCAATTTAACACCGATGCTCAAACGTGTAAGTGAATAAAGAGATTGAATAATTTAAGCGACGGAGACGGATAGTTAATAGACGCGTTCGTTGTTCCCTTGCGTGGCCTGTCATCCTCAACCCTTGCCAGAAAACGTGCGCTCGATCGCTCGCTCGCTCTCTCTCCCCTCCGGTCTGCGGTCCCAGCCAGTGGGAACGGTAAACTCGGCTCAGGGCAGCTTACATAAGTGCGGGACAGCACACCGCTCGACACGTGACAGCTCGCCCGCTATTCCCTCCTCCTCCTCTCCACCCTGCACATGGGCTGCAGCGTGCCTACCGAATTTACCATAATACAAGTTCACAACTCGCGAATGATTCTGCCCCCCCCCACCACCCCCCCCCC